TATATTAAAGATAGGAAGCTGATATTTTCAGCAATTCTTATCTCAGTAGAGGACTACAATCCCTGAAAATTTCAGCTCATTTGATCTTATAGTTCTTGAGATAAAACCGTGTTAAGTAATTTGGGGTGATTTATCAATTTTTCAATTTTGCTGAGTGCCTTTTTCCATAGAATCTGGCTCCAAATCTCAGAATAATTCAGTGTATGGAGTTCGGGGAATCCTAAAGGACCATAAGGACCGAGATAAGGACACAAAATCTCAACAAAAAAAAAATTGAAATTTCATCGTTTTAGTAAGAAGGTGATTTAGATTTTGGGAAACTTTGAAAGGCCATAACTTTTTTTCTATTATAGATAGAAATCTGAAATTTTCAGCGATTCTTATCCCAGTAGAAGACTAGAATTCCTCAAAATTTCAGCTCATTTGGCTTCATAGTTCCTGAGATAAAATCGTGTTAAGCAATTTGGGGTGAATAATTTTTCAATTTTTCCGATACCCTTTTTTCATAGAATCTAGCTCCAAATCTCAGAATATTTCAGTGTATGGAGTTCGGGGGATCCCAAAGGACCAAAAAGACACAAAATCTCATTTAAAAAAAAATTGAAATTTTATCGTTTTAATAAGAAGGTAGCTTATGATTTAGATTTTGGAAAACTTTGAAAAGTCGCAACTTTTTTTTCCCAAATCAGTAGAGTTTCAGCTATTAAGCCCTTATAACCAATCAAGATATACAGTCCTTGGATAAGAAATTTGTAATTTATTGACCCATAAGCCTTGTAGGAAATTACCCTTTTCAGCTAAGAAGAGCTGATAAACTGCTCATAGATAAGAATTTCAAAATAATTAAGAAAAACCTCGAGAAAAACAGTATTGTAAGATGTATTTTCCATAGCACTGGTAATTTTTGGTGCTTAAAAATTACAATAAATACATATAAATATAAATAGATATATTTAAATACATTTAAATACATAAAAATATGAATTAATACATTTAAATATAAATAAATATGTTTAAATACATTTAAGTAACTTTAAATATTTTGAAATACTTTCAAATAAAATTTAAGAAGTAAATACATTCAAATACAGCAAATACTTACATTTATTTGTATTTATAAATAGGTGTACAAATTCTGGTGAGTGACCCTCCCCTCGAAACTAACATTAGCCTAGGTAAGAAAAGTTCTTGTTCCGAATCAGCTTCTCGAGCAGCTTATAATAGGCATGTATCATCTACAATCTACATAATATAGTATGTCCGTAAAGTAACGGATACATTTCTTTAAAATTCATGTTATATTTTTTTTATGGAAAAACGCTCGGATACTTCGATCTTCATTTTTAGTGGCGCTTTTTTTTAAACCAATTTGTATTCATACAAGGTGACCCAAAAAAAAGATATCACTTAACACTACAATTTTTTAAATGGAATGCCCTGGATATTTGGATGAATATCGATAGAGCGATAATTCATCTCGATGGGTTCTATCGATATTCATCAAATTATATAGGGCATTCCATTTAAAAATTTGAAGCGTCATGTGATATCTCTTTTCTGGATCACCTTGTATAAATACAAATTAGGGTGTCTGAGCGTTTTTCCGAAAAAAATATGCTTAAATCGAGGCTTAAATTTTATATGAATTTAAGTATCCGTTACTTTACGGACACACTGTATAAATATGTTGATTCGTGTAGTGAAACTTGTGAAATGGAATTTATGTAGACCAAGAAGTCAGTCCAAGGATAGAGCCTTGAGGTAAGTACTTCCCTGCTGGATATCTCCATTAGCACTCCTTTCACCACTGCAAGCAACAAACGGCGTTCTACCATTCAAATACACCACAGCAGAACTGAGCCACTTATACCAGCAGGTTCGGTTTTGCTCCATCAATCTCTATGCCGATGACACGCAGCTCCTGTTAGGTTTTGCTCCTCAGAATGCCTGTGTGTGTATGCAGAGAATAAATGACGACTTAGACTCGATCTTTTTATGGTCAAGTCAACATGGGTTGGTTCTAAATGCTAGTAAGAGCACATATATGATTATGGGCTCTAATGCCGTCAGAAGTCAATTTTTGCGTTTTAATTTCACTACACTGCACATAAACGGTACTACTCTACCTAACTCAGAATCAGCAAGAAATCTGGGTGTGACTTTCGACGAAAGTCTTAACTTTCAGGTGCACGTCAACAAAAAATTGTCATGTGTTTATGCTGTACTTAAGAGTTTGTACCCGTTTAAGGATAATTTACCTCGCAACATTAAATTGATGTTAGTGGAGACTCTTATTTGGTCACAGTTGGACTATTGCAATGTTGTCTTCTATAACTACCTGAATGTTGAATTTAAAAACAAAATTCAGTTAGCTCAAAATGCTTGTATGAGATTTATTTTTAGCATTAGAAAATTTGACCATATTACGCCAACCTGTGTAGAGAATAAGATACTAATATATGAACAGCGAGCAGCCTTGCACTTTGGTCAATTCGTTTATAAAATTTTTCAATCTGGTTACCCATCCTATCTCTCAGAATATCTTATAGTAAGACAAGACCTACACAGTCGCTGTCTGAGAAACATTATACGATTTCAAATACCACGGAACATAACCGAAGGTTTTAAAAACTCATTTTCTTACCGAGCGGTACAACTACTTAATACAGAGGTGTATGAATTTATGATTTCAGTTTCACTGGTAAACTTTAAAAAGAAGTACAAGGCTTCTCTGCTGGAATTAATAGCGTAGCTTAGAATAGGCATTGAATTCTGTATTTATTTATTTATTTATTTATTTTTTTCAGGTAGCATGGAAGAACACATTACGTGAATGTTACCTTTTATGTAATTTCTTTTGATGCATAATAAACGTTATTATTATTATTATTATACCGGACCCGAGACTGGACCTTTCAAGAATAATGGATAACAACACTTGATGGTTTACAGTGTCAAACGCTTTTTTTAAATCAAAAGAGACTAAAACATGCTTGAACTTTTCATCAAATTCATTGTAAATATTATTCAACAGAGTTAGGAAGGCATTCAGGGGCGCCAGGTTTTAGAAAACCTTGTGGGTGCTCCTCAATTTGCTGATGCTCATGCACCGGTATGGGGGGGGGGGAAGGGGGGTGAACAGCCCGCCGCTGGCGGTGAAAAAATCCTTCCGAGTGCCACGCCCAGAAACATATAAGGCTATGGTCCGAAGATAACCAAACGAACGTTAACCATTAGCTCTGTTTCAACAGACATGAGAACCGTTCCAGAACCAATAATTTCCAGTTGCCCACCGATTTTCCAATAAGTTGAACGTTTATCCTACTTGACAAATGAACTGATCGAGTGGAAATTACCGTTCTGAACGGTTTTCATGTCTGTTGAAACAGTACTAAAGTTACCAAATCGGTTGACCGATGGTTAATGAAAATTCCGTTTACTTGGGGAACGCATCCATCATCCGATGATACGACAATACGAAATTGTTCCGATTGGTTGAATTTACAGCTTTTTATTGGTGAGAAAGTTCAGAAATTTTCTGATGTTTAGCATTTGCATGCATCCGACATCTAATGATAAGAATCGTTCATGAATAGTCGAAAATATTTGACTGCTCAGGTCATAAAGGTTATTGAAATATTTTTCTTTCTCCGTGAGCCAGTGAGCCATTTCATTCAATAAATACACCTTGTTGGCTTTTTTTTTATAGATATCTAACAAAACATGGAAAGTTAGAATTATACGTCAAAAATGTCAAATCATACGGTATGGAAGTTAAAATTATTGTAACTTTATCCGACGTTGGAGAAAAGTTAAAAATATTCGGATAAAAAATGGTGGGAAACTGTTTAACCAATAAGAGCTTCGTTGTATCATTGTACCATTGTACGACGGATGCATGAAAACCTACGCTTAGTGTAACCCCTTGAGGAGCCGAATTTACAGTCGCTACTTGTTCTTGAGGTTTCCTCAGATCTTAAGGAAACCTTGAATGTTTAGAATTGATATGACTAACTTGTCAAATAGTAGCAAATGTCCATTCTAAACTCACGACCTCCAAGGAAGAGTCACGGAACAACTAAATTTGGCACGGAATAAAGTCTGTTTTTTTGTTAAAGATAATTCCCCAAGTCAAAAATTTAGTATGCTCGTGGGTGCTCCGCACCCACTGTTTACGTCTCGTGGGTGCTCGGGCCCCCAAGCACCCACGTAGTCGGCGCCCCTGAAGGCATTGAGACGATTATTGACACATGTTTCCAACACCTTGGAGATTGAGATTGGATGGTAGTTGTTTACTGAGATGCTATCGCCCCCCTTTAAATAATGAAATAATTTCTGCTGTCTTCAACACATTGGGAATTGATGCTTTTTAATAAAATAATACATGAAAGTGAAATAATCAAAGTTGCACACACAGATGTATAGCACACCTAGGTTCTATCAAGAATTTTGTTTTGATTTTCAAAAAAATCTGTTCCAATACATCACTTTTTTACTGAATTAAACAGTAGTAGATAATACCTAAGTAAAGAATTTAATAAACAACGGTTTAATAGGTACACCCAGCAACGTTTAGAGTGGAATATTTTTTCGAAACCCAACTAGAAATTCATTTGTGTTCACCTAAATTGCATTATACTGCATTTTTGGCCTTATTGCTTTGTTTTTAGTGTGGGCACAGATTTGGGGTTGGTTGGTGCCTTGAAAAAGCATGCTAAAAGTGCAACAAAGACCTAAAAAAGCTCATATTATAGTTGACACCTATCCATTAGCTCCCTGGAAGTTTTCCAAACGTTCAATACAACTAGCATTCTACTATAGTCAGAAGCCCTTTATAATATAGAGAATAAATGCCTCGTAGATTTAAAAAATGTTAAAGTTTTTTTAAAAATTAGCTGCTTAAGTTTAAGTGAAAAAAGAGGCTGTTGTCCTAAATTTTAAGTAAATAGTTATATCATCAGTGTTCTAACCTAACATTGCAAAAAAACGCGGAACCTCACCTGCACGAAAAGTCTGGGCACGGTCCTCGTAATTAGTGACATTTTCGCCTTGGTTTGTCCTTTTTGCGAACACTTATGTACGTATTTCTTATTTTATTCAAAAGTAGAACAGAAAATTTAATTTTCACACTAGCGCCAAGAGCCACAGAAGTTAAAACTCGAAACTAGAAACGAACAACGAACAGAGGAGCGACGTCAGAGAATAAGAGAAGGGCTTATCGATCAGATATATCGATACATACATGCATCGATACTCCTTCGATGATGGTTCATAGAGTATAAACTGAAGAAGACACATTGGTTGTATTCCTTTCACACCTAGGAGGATCTCTGGAACAGCTCCGGAGCGTTACGCGCTTATTCCTTTCGGAAAGTGTTTCAGTGCACCACGCATCTCGCATCTCTTTCCTTTCAAATTTCAAATTCAAAAAAGCTTTATTGTCTAAAGTACATAAAGTTCTCATTGACAAAGCACTAAAAATAATCTTAAAAATAAATAATAAAGTCATAAATTTTCTGTGGCCGCACCAACCAGCAACCTCTTAACTTCCCTCCTAAAATGTCTCAGGGATGGGATAGATCAAATTCCTTGACAAGTGGTTGAAGATCTTAATGCTTTCATATATGACACATTTTTTTACCAGTGTGGAGTGGGGTATGGGTAACATAAGTTGGACCGTTGGACGCATTTCGGGTCGAATAGATAGCATTATAGGACATAAGTATGTGCCCATTTTTGTAGACAAGTATGACTGTTTCCAAAATAAACAGACTCTATAAAGTTAGGATTTTCTCTTTCTTAAATAAAGGTCTGCAGTGATCTCTATTGTTAGCACCACAGATGTACCTAAGAGCCCGCTTCTGTAATATAAAAACAGAGTCCAACAGATTCTGGGAACAGAGCCCCCAAAAGCAGATACCATATCTTAATCTTGACTCAATCAAGACAAAATAGACCGATCTGAAGTTACTCCACCACTATAAATGCCGGAATAAACACCTTCCAAAAATTGGGAAATCGCATCATCTGTATTGCGATGTTCCTGAAAGCCAAATTGAAGAGAACTCAGAACATTGTTTGTATTCAAAAATGAGACCACTCTACTTTTAACCAGCTTTTCTACAATTTTGGATAGATTAGAAAGTAGTGATATGGGACTATAATTAGAGGAATCCCCCAAATCTCCGCTCTTGTGAAATGGAATTACTTTTGCCAGCTTAAGGCATGAAGAGAAGACACCAGACTCCCAAGACAAACTGATTGCCTGAACCAAAACATCCAAAACCTTGTTAGGCAAATTTGCAAAAAATTTTATAGACAGACCATCATCCCCAGAGCTTTTTTTATTTTTATTACCTGATATGATCTGTTTTAATTCTTTAAGGGAAGTAGGAAAAAAGTAAAAGGAACGATTGACCCCTGCATTATTTGAGAGAAAACTAAGTGAATCAGTGTGTTGAGGAATATTTTTGGTCAGGTTTTCTGCCATAGAACAGTTAAATTTGTTGACTGAGTCAGGAGACATGTCGCTATCATTGATGCTTGGGGAAAAATGACTTTTTTACAAATATCGTTTGTAATTGACCAACTTTCCCTTTGTTTGTTGGATGCATTTGCAAGACGATACGAGTAAAGGCCGTTTTACAGCTTGCAAGAAAACTTGAATGCAATTTTTTGCATGCAAAAAAATTGCCTTCAAGATTTCTTGCACGTCGTTTTACACCTTGCAATTTGACTTGTTTCTTTCTCTAACCTTAACCATACTTTTTTGTTTTTAATGTTGTGTTGTTGATGTTTGCATTTTCCAAAAATAAAAAAAGTGATTTTAAGTCGATATAAAAAGAAGAAAGTAATAGCAGCAACTTTAAACATCATAATTGCTAAAAATTCCCCAGCTTGCACGAAACCTTCAAGAAAAATGGCACCAAACCGATTGCATGCAATGCCATTCAAGTTTCAAGAATCTTGCAGAAACCAATCAGCTGACTCACTTCTGCGCATGCCTTCGTTCAAGTTTCTTGCATATTGCAGAAAGAATTGCAAGCTGTAAAACGGCCTTAATGTAAATCTTTGGCCAACTTTATAAGTTTTCTGTAGATTGACCGGTAGTTATTGAAATAGGTGTAAAAGTGTGGATTATCTGTGAATTTTCTAATATAGTGCAGATTTCGAAGATTCTTAGAGGAAACCTTAAGTCCTCTAGTAAACCAGAGTTTTTTATCTGTTAATTTCCTTTCAAATCGGGGTCGACTAACACCGGAGCGATGAGTAGCTCGATTGTTCCAAACTCTTGAAAGGAATACAACTAATGACAAATACAGGATACAAGTGACAAGAGACAAAAATATAATAACACGCGTATCATTGCTAATTGCTACAACCCAGAATAAATGGATAATGGATACAAGATACAATGCACTTGCCATGCCACGATACAAAATTTCGATTTTTTGGTATTTTGTATCTGTCACTTGTACCTTGTATTTGTCCTTAGCCGCATTCTTTCGCAATATATTTGAATCATGATTTCGAGATCCTGATCCGTTTGTTCAATTGGAACATTTTTCCCTTTTAATGTCCGAAAGAACGCTGTCCAGATTTTCGTGATCGGAACAAACTAATCACAAAAAAAAAATGTTCAGTTTGCTCAGAATTAATCGGATCATGATTTGCTAACAGTCAAATATCAAAATGCGAAAGAACGTGATTAGGTAGTTAGAACATAACGCGTTTTGATCAACTGATCTGGTCCGAAAGAATGCGGCTCTTATGGCCGTTTCCACCAACCATTTTAGGTGAGCCCTAACGACAAGTATTCCCTAAAATGACATTTTTACATGGAGAAATGTCAGTTTAAGGCGTACCTATCGTTAGGGCTTCCCTAAATTAGTTGGTGGAAATGGCCATTATTGTGTCTCCAGCCATGTCGATACGAACTTTTCATATCAATATGTATCGATATTATATCGCCATTTTTTAATATTATATAGATATTTATCGATACAGATCTTGCAAAATTGAAACCGTTATTGTTCATTAAGGTACGCGTCCAGACTTGCACACGCATGCGGTGAGAAGCTACGCATACACATACGTATGCAAATGTGGACGGCGCTTTCGTAGCTTCTCGCCGCATGCGCTGTCTCGAAAGCGCCGTCCACATTTGCATACGTATGTGTATGCGTAGCTTCTCACAGCAGGCGTGTGCAAGTCTGGACGCACCTTAAGATGCGAATCGCGGACTGCGAATTGACGAAACCATTCCCATTGGTTCGTCCACTGATAAGAAAAGTGACATCTGTCAGATTTCAATTTTTTCCGACTTGGCAAAATTTGAAATCGAGGAAGCGGGAAAATTGATGCGTAATTCATATGTGAATCACGAATTGCGAATTCCGTTGTGGAAAAATCGGCGTTTTTCAGTTCTTTCTTACAGAAACGAATTTCACAATCATTCTACGAATATTTAAGCCAATTTTATGCGATTGATCGATCGGCCGATCGGTCATCTTGACAGATAAACCATTAATGCGTCATTTGTCCACTAATTGGTCTTAATTGACTTTAAATGCATAATTGCCCATCTGTCAAGAAGACTGACTGGTCAATCACTTGACATTGGCTTATATTTAAATGATTTTTGGTTATAGCTCCAAATAATTGTTTTTGTTGTTTCTAAGGCCGTTTTACTTCTCTTGTTTCTATATCGACTTATAATCACTTTTTTCATTTTTGGAAAATGCAAATATCAACAACACGAAATTTAAAACAAGAAAATTTTTTTGCATGCAAGAAATTGCATTCAAGTTTTTTTGCAAGTTGTAAAACGGCCTTTATTGTGTTTGTTGCAAGTTGCAATACGCAAGAATCTCTAATATTTTGAATGAAGAGCAAAACTCATTTTTTGTTTGGCCAGAAAACGTTTTCAAACTACAATAGAAAATAGGTATTACAATAAAGAAAACACACGGCAAAGCAGAACAAACTACAACACATCAACAGAGAAGAATCCAAAATGAAATGGCGAAAGCCTTGAAAGTCTAGAACCTAAAATTATTATCCTTTTCCTTTGCATGTCGATAGAAAAAGAGGCACATACCCTCTTATTCCAAACATTTCACACACATAAAGGTCGCATTGCTAAAATGGCTTTTTTTTGCTTAGGCGTTCAAGAGATGGCACTGAGGAACCAAATTGGGAATATAGATTTTCGGGCTCTACATTCAAAATATCAAACTGATGGAAGTAGCAGGAATATGTACCTACCTGTAACAGCAAAAAGTTATTATTTTATGTGGTATATATCTCTCTTTTCATTTTAGTCGGAAGCTCGGAGAGATAAAAAAAAACAATATACCTAATATAAATAATTCATGAATTTTTATAGGCAAATCATAACATTCTCACATTATATACAGGGTGTTTCCTAAGTAAGGTCCGTCACTTCAGGATGTGATTCGTTACGATATTTCAAGAAAAAAGTTCCCATAAACATGTACCCAGAAATGCGTCATTTCTGAGATACAGGGTGTTGATGATTATAAAAAAGAAAACATTATAGGTACCTAAATCAGTAAGCCACTGCTTTATAATGCGTTTGGTATTTTTATAAAATTAAGCAATGCGAAATACCTACACCTTCTTTACCTGTCGAATTATTATTCTTGTATTTAGCCTGGTTTTCGAGAAAAAAAAACCTTTTTCAGTGACGTGCAAGAAAATGGATTTTATTTTTTTTTTCTCGAAAGCCATACCATTTATGCTGGATACAAATCGACAGATAAAAAAGATGCATTTTTCACTGTAATTTATATAATAAAAATACCAAACCCTTAAAAAATCAGTGGCGTACTGAGTTATTATACATAAATTAATAAAAGACTAAATTTTTTATTTTGTCAAAAATCTTAATTGTAATCAACACATATTTTCATTTTACATTGAACAAACTTTATCTAAATGAAGTTATTGAAAACTAAATTAAAAATTCTACAAGGCACACAAGAAACTTCACAAACATGTGCAACTTGTCAACTAACAAATGTGAAACCATGGTCAGGCTTTATTCTTGGCGAGCAATGCTTTGTTTATGTGTGGGATCACACCACCACCAGGGATGATAGCATTGACAAGGTGACACCTCGTCTCCTTTGATTGCTAGCTGCAAGTGGCGAGGGGTGATTCTTTTCACCCT